CCATTGTCACAAATTATATGTTGAGGTACTCCATAGGTAAGAAAAACTTCATTCTCAAGATACTTCACAATATAGGGAGATTTTGATGAACGCAACGGACACAGAAGAACATACTTCGAAAACCAATCGCCAATAACTAAAAGCCACTTATGACCCTTTTTGATCTAGGAAAAGGACCCATAAGATCTAAAGCGATTGTCTGAAAAGGCATATTAACTTGCTTTTCTTTTCCCATCTTACCTAACGGCATAGTATTAGAAGATTTTTGAGCTCCGCAAACACGACAACTCCTAACAAATTTAAGAACATCGGCTCTCATCTTGGGCCAATAAAATTGTTCTTGAAGTCTCGATAAAGTCTTATAAAAACCCAAATGCGAACAAGTTGGCGGATTATGACATGAATCGATAATATTACGACGCTGAGGACGTGGAACAACCTGCTTCCATTCTTGAAGATTTGATGAAAATGGTAACTGTACCGGAATAAACTTAAAAAGAAAACCATCTTCAACTTTCCACTGTGGAAATGAACCAGGTGAAGCTAAAATCTTTTGCTTCATAGTCTCATACCATGCGTCAGTATGGTCTAAATCTATATTCAAAACGGAAATTTGCGGACATACAAAAGAATCATTATCTGAAATATCTGAAGGAGAAACTTTATGATTGGTAGTGGTGGATCTATAAAAATTCTTAACACATAATAACCACTTCTTCCAATCAGATTCTAAAAATAAATTTCTGGGTTTGAATTTTTGAACTGCACGACCAGAAACACGAGTTCGTCCAATTAGTTTTTGAACATTTTGGGACACGCCGGTGACTTAACACCTAAATTACCACATTTAAAACAAAAACCTTACGTTTCTGTCGACAATCATGAAATGTATGATTTGGACCAGAACAATTCCAACAAACTAAACGCGAGGTTGCTTCCTTACCTGAATTTTCTACAGATCTCGGCATACTCGAAGAAGTATTTACCATATCAGGGTCAGAAGACGACGACGCTACAGAATAACTAGCAGACCGAACAGTAGTATTTTTATTTTTGTTTTGAGCATTGACATTCTTAGACTTTTTACAAAACTGTACTCAATGAGAATCAGACGAGCTAGAATCAGGAGTGGTATTCAATTGAGAAACATTTAAACTTCTAGATCGTTGTTCATTCTGATGTTTAGCATTTTCTAATTTTCTACACAAATTAGAGAGTTCAGACACAGATAAAACATCAACTAAAGCCAACTGAGTAATGTATTCAGGAAGTAAATTTTGTCTAATAATTTTAATCTTATTAACCTCACTAGGGCATTTACTTAATCTACTAAAAAGATTCTCTAAAGTTGCTATAAAAATTAAAATACTTTCATTTTTTCGTTGTTTATAAGATTTAATTTGCGACCAAATATTGTCATCATTATCTGGTAGCAAAAAGTCTTTCTTTAATCTTTCTACAAGAGATTTCCAATCTGTAACATGTTGTTTAATACTTCTGTACCAAATAAAAGCATTCCCGGTAAAAAAGTTCTACTGCGGAAGAAAATAAATCTTGTTCACTAACTTTACGTGATTCAGAAAGCTCAGTAACAGTTTCTAAAAATGAAAATAAATCTTGAGGATTACCATTAAATTTAATAGGCCAGTCTGACACTGGACAAGGTTTAGCAACATAAGTCACAATAGGAGGCGGTACATTAATAACCGGTCCTGAAGGAACAGAACTAACATTTAAAATTTCATTTGTGTCAGAAATTTTTGAAAATAAGTCAGCTTCAAGTTGATAACAACTAGTATAAACATCAGTTTGAATAGTCTCTGCATCAGCACGATTTTGATCTAAAATTATTCTTCTAATTCTACCAGCCAAATGTACAAGACGAGATTTTATAACTTTAAACATTGAATCATTTACTCCACCTTCGAATTCAGAAACTGACAAAGAAATTGAATCTAAAGTTGCTTTAATTTCGAAAATTTCTTGATCAAAAGAAAGAGGATAATTTTCCATATTAACTAAACAAAAAGGGTTATTAATTTCTCTACTTAAAAGACCTGACAAAATTTTACGTTTACTCTCAACATTTTTAGATGTCTTAATACCCCTAATAAGAAGTTCATAATCTAATTCTACTTGTCGTAAATGATTAACTTTAAAAGATTCTTTCTCCATTGTAATTCAGTTATATAAGACATTAAAGACTAAATGATTCAGAAAAAATTTACTAATTTTAACAAAAAGCTGTTATGACTCGACGCAATCAATCAGAAAGAAATTATGTTCAATGTCAAAACCAAAAAAACACTCAAATATTCAAAACAAATTCCAAAATTTTACGAAGTACTAACAACGCTACCCTGTATACTAAAATTATGTCCACTCTGTATATTCAATATATAACCTTACCTGTATATTTATATCAAGATCAAAATTTCAATAAACTATGTAGTCAGAAGTATCAAGTTATTTATCTCTGAGTTTTAAACCGATAAACAAACACCCTCTATAACATGAAAAACAAAAATTGCTGTTGTACTGAAATTATAAAAATTAAATTACAGAAATAATGAAAACAAAATTTCAAAACTATAGTCTTTGCCTTAAAGAAAATTTATCTGAGCCTAATAGAAATTATTTTACTAAATTAAGTTTACCAATAAAAGTCAAACAAAATAAACTAAGTTGATCCAATTAAATTAAGCTGAGCCCCACGTTACAGGGCGTCATATACTTTATTCTTCTATGTGTGACGACTTTTCTGTCGTTACCCAAATAGAATGAAAAAAGAATCCGTTGCTCAGGGTTAGAGGAAAGCTGGGTTCGTAGGTAAGGCTTCTGATTCACGGTGACTTTCTAATGTTGTTAAATATTAATATAAAAAAAATGATAATATGTAGGCTGCAGAGATTTTAATATTGATGTTAAGAATTCAAATAGGTATGGTCAAAGACAGTGAAAAAGGGCGCCACTTACTTTGTTTATAAGAGTGGTAAAGTAAGAAACCAAAAAGAAAAATACAATATCACAACATAGTTTACATATAAGGGTCTATTATGTTTATCAGGAATAAAAGTCAGAAATAACTATCCTACATTAAACATTTATTGAAAACGAACACAAGTATCATCAATTAGTCACAGTGGTCCCAATAAAACCGCAAGTTATTTTAAATAGATTCGAATTTTTGAACTAAGTAAGCTACTTAATATAAAAACAGGTGAAATTTATGTATGTCTCAATACGATGATGTTTCGAAACATGTCGTGTACAAAAACCTTTAAAATGAATACGTGTTAATAATTTTCATATAAAATATCATAGCTAAGCAAGAGTATACTGTACGAATCAAATTATAACTTATAACGTTAAATAAAAAATAATTTTGACTACAATATGTGGGATAAATAGTGATAATTTACCAGGTTATTAAATCTGTTGTCTCAAAAATTATAAAATAAAAGCGTACCTTGTGTATCAAACTTAAGACTTATCTGTATATAGTTTCTTATGATGTAAATAGGTAGTTAGGTATTCTCCAGACTAACAGAAGTGGATGCAGATGACTATGGCAGGAGAAGTCTTCGATATCAGCCAAAAGAACGATTGTAAAGTCAGGAACACTGTCTTAATGTCTGCATAGGTCCATACAAAATGAAATGGGTGAAACATACAATAATTACTGCATTATTACTGCATACCATGTGGTAGTTACTGAGTACCATGTGGAAATTTTACTTAATATCATGGTGGTCATTACTCTATAAATAAAAAATAGTTCTCAGGACAGATACTAAATAAAAAAACAACTTACGGTCTGAAAATCAGCTTTACATAAATATATTCAAACCATATGCCGATCCAAACCAGTAATTAAATACTCAAGTAAACGAAATGACAAACGGAAATAACTGAAATAGAATTTAGTTAGATAGGGCTATATAAAATGGCGGATAAACTTACGGTGATCATTCCAAGAAGAAACCAAACAAATACGATCTATACTCTGAATTGCATACTTTACAAGGTTTTCAAATCTCCAAATCGGATACCCATGCAATCGAAATCGAAAAGTGGATTCAGAGTGCTTTTCACTGGAAAATTTGTCGGACGCCGAAACGCGTCTTCTTCAGATCCAAATTCCCAGAAAAAAGACCTTCTTCTCAGTTTCAGAAACGAAAACAAAAAACCCTTTTCACCACAGACAAGTGAAAGAAAAAGTGATATCATATGATCGAAATCATTAGAACAGAAAATCGCAAACCACAGCGACGTGAGATTGGGACAAGTGAAATGCAATTAAGGAAGTTTGGCATATAGCGAATAGATGGCGCTAATAAACAAGACAAGTAAACTGTAAGAAATGAAGTTTGACATCTAGCGAATAGATGCGCTAATAAAAATTAAATATCGAAACAAGTGACCTGTAACAAATGGAGTTTGGTATCTTTGGCATCTAGCAAATAGATGGCGCCAATACTAAGAAATTTAAATAAAAATAGATTTTTAAATACAATTTTTATTAAAGGAAATAAAAAATGCTACAAATTGGCACGTAAAAGATTTGAAACCAGATCCAGGTTAGATTTTAGGATGTATATATTTTTCATTGAGTTGGTAGTAACTCGCTGTTTTTAAAGAAATTTCATTTCTTTAAAAAAAAGGAAGAAAAGGTGGGGTGTTACGGTTTAAAATTTCACCGTAACGTATTTTACTTATTTTGGTTATTTTTAGGAATAAAACTAAAACTTACTTGAATAACTTGAGTAATAACGTTTAATTAGCTTACTTCTTAACTGTACATATAATTTCTAATAATATCTTATCTATAAGTCTCATCATCACAACAATTTCTTTGGATGGAGTTGTCTCCGATAACTGTAATATAAAACCTCATTAATATAATATCAATTTGTCTGTTTAAAACTACCTTTCTTTCTACAGTGGTTACTAATTCTTTATTTAGACATATGCTTGTGTTAGGATGATTTCTTGCCATATTTCTTCGGGGGATTCTTGAACATAGACTTGATGTGATTATCTTTTGTCTGTTTTCAACGCAACAAGTGGGAATGTTGGGTCTGCAATATACATATGGGTTAAGAATTTTATTATGTATTTTTCCTGTGTGTAATCAATTGGTTTTACCTGATTATAGTTGATTTTTCCCTAAATTTCATCTTGTTTATATTACGATTTATAGACTGACGTTTCAGTTGTTTGTCAGCTGATCGTGTGACACCTGCGTTGAAGGTTGACGGATCGATCTTTGCAAATTAGGTTTTCGATCTTTTTAATCGTTTTTTATATGATCGGAAAATGTATTAATAATTTTCCGAAGATATTATGTTCGTATATGGATTATAATATGTTTATTATGATGTAATAAAATGTTTCATCCAATTCGTATGCATTAAATAAATAATTTTATTTTGGGTCTTTTGTTTTACTGGTTGTCAGTGTTGGATTTTGGGTTGGTATCTTGGAGTCCAGCGTCTTTTGCGGATTTTGCAAACACGCGTCCTTTTTCGACTTTGAACCATCTTGGTGAAAGCAGGGGAAGCCTTCTGATCTCTGCCGAAAATAAAAGAAAGAAATTCTAGTGAAATTTTGGCTTGTCGTCGTTCCATATTGGGATTGTTCAATAGAATTACGGTCTTGGAATTCATTGAGGGTTGAGAAGACCGATTGGCAAGAAATTGAGCTTGGCCTGTGTAGTTGGAATTCCGGGGGAAAACCTTGAAAAGGGATATCTTTGTTGGTTGGGTAAGAGACATTTCTAGGTGTAAGGTTCTCTTCTACAACTGTTTATTTTAGACAGGAGCTGTAAATGGATGTGTGGACGTACTGGGATGAGTACGAGGACAGTTAAGGAACCCTTTTCCATGGAGTAACATGCGTTGAGACGCCATCTTGTCTTGGAAAGGTCTGCATGGTGGAAAGGTATTTTACTGTGTCCAAACCAGAATGTGTCACTAAAATAGATCATATTTTAGGGTTCTTTCTTTCTTGTTCCTTGGCTATTACTCCTCAGTGATGATTACGGTTTAGCTTAAGATTTTTATCAATTTTTTACTGGATTTGGTACTGCAACTAATGCCATTGTGACGTGAATGCCACTGTGACGAGGAATGCAACTGTGACACTGAAGACCGGCAATCTGGATTTTCTCATGGACTGATTGGAACGACCACTGGATGACAGATAAGACTTTAATCATCTCTTATTTTATTGCGTTTATGATTGATTAAAATTTATTACATTAAATATACGATCGTATGTGAACTTGGTATACCAGGGGATTTTTACATTTAAATTTCATTTTATTCTTTATAGACATTTAATCATAATCACAAATACGCATCAGGGTTTTCACAGTTTAGTCACAACAATATTTTGTGATACTATTCATGATTTAATTTATTTTACGGATAGTTCATTTTTTTACTAGTATATATATATATATATATATATATATATATATATATATATATATATATATATATATATATATATTTCATTATTTCGTATTTAAATATTTGCTACATTTTATGATAGATCTTGGCAATTTGTTTTAACTTTAAATTTAATATTTATTAAACGAATCCAGTACATTTTAGACTTTTCAATCAGTACACTTTTTCCATACACCTCCCTTTTGATATCTCTTGTTCTGTGCATATATTTTACTTAATTATTTACTGAGCTAGCTAGAACCTATTTGTAACGGAACCTGGTGAACCTGAGTTCCCATTATAAACTTTTTCACCCAAGGTGGCGTTATAAAATCTTGGTTTAATTTTTATACTTTAAATGCTATTTCTCTAAATACAAAGAAAAATAAATGTATTTACTGAAATAACTGGTTCATTATGACAACCGCGTATTTCATGGGAAAATTCACTTTGTCTTGTGTTAGTCACTTGTGTAATCAACGATTGTCGTCGGTGTTGATGCCATGGTTGGTTTGTGTGATACACTTTACTGATGTGTTGAACTGCACAGTATTCTGTTTAAATAGTAGTTGTGGTGAGACGGAAAAAATGCGTGCAAATACGTTTCCTATAATTATGTTAAAATAGTGCCGTGTGCGTCTTGTGGTTCTTGGACTTTGGCGCAAATTGATAATAATAAATATTAAAATAATTGATCATTATTCCAAGTAACAAAAATAAATTAGCATATGAAGTAAATAACTTGACAATAATAACTATAATTGTATGTTAAAATGTATAATAACTATATTTATAACTATAATTGTATAATATTAACTATAACTATAAATTTTATTGTAACTATAAATTGTATAATAATAACTATAATTGTATGTTAAAATGGTGCCGTGTGTATCTTGTGGTTCGCCTTTGATGCAAATTGTTTTTTAGAAATAATTGCATACATTGATCATTATTCCAAGTAACAAACATAAATTAGCATTTGAAGTAAACAACTTTGATGATAATTACTGGAATTCTGCTAAAATGGCAGTTTTCTTTTATAAATAATTGCATACATTTATTATTATTTAATTAACAACATAAATTAGCATTTGAAGTAAACGTATTTGTTTTATTTATTGACTTTAATTAACGAAAATGAAGATTCCTTATTAAAAAATCCGACCTACTACATGCCGCATCACTGTGGGGTAAAAAATAGCAGTACTATAACTAAAGTCCGCATGGTGTTTGACGCGTCAGCGAAAACATCCTCCAAAGTTTCCTTAAACGACGTTCTTAAGATCGGACCCACGATTCAAGACGACCTTTTGTCAATTATTTTAAGATTTAGAACTCATATTTAAAAAAATTTCAAAGTAAATCTACCAAATACCAAAAGCATGAACCTTTTAGTATAGCTTTCTATGTAAAATGTTCGTTAGATGACTCGTTATCCTTTTTTAAAACATACTGATAAAAACTGTGAAATATCGTTTGTGAAAAAATTGCACAAAATATATTCAACGAATCAGCCTATACTATCAGAACAAGATTTCTGTCATTCCCAAACGTGTTACATTTGTCAGACACCTTTTTCTGGCGAAGATGATGTGAAAGTCAGAGATCATTATCATTTTACTGGAAGTTTCAGGGGTGACGCTCGTAAGTCTTAAGTAATTTAAATTATAAAAATTCTCATACAGTACCCGTAATATTTCACAATTTATTTGGTTACGATAGTAATTTCCTGATTAAGGCCCTTTATACTGAAATCGCTGGAGTTATAAATTTGTTACCCGTAAATAAAGAAAAATATATATCATTTAAAAAATACATACAAGACACAAATACCAATTTTAGATTTTTGGATTCGTATAGATTTATAGCTAGTGGAAAAATTATTCTCTTATTTGGATAATGATCAAAAAGTTGTAACCAGAAAACAGTACACTAACGAAACAGAATTTAATTTATTTCTTCGGAAAGGAGTGTTTCCCTATGATTATATTGACTGTTACAAGAACAATGTTTACCACCCCTAGAAAAAATTTTATAGTAAAATCGGTGAATCGGATATATCACAAAAGGATTATCAACACGCGTGTAATGTAAGAAACATTTTCAATATGCAAAACAAATCAGGGAATATGCTGAATTATATCTCAAAACGGATGTGTTACTATTGGTAGATATATTCGAAAACTTTAGAAAAGTATGTTTAGATACTTATAAACTTGATAGTTTACATTTTTACGTAGCCCTTGGTCTTACATTTGATAGCATGCGAAAAATTACCCAAGTTGAGTTAGAACTTTTTACTGATGTTGATATGATTTTATTTATTGAAAAAGGAATAAGAGGTGGCATTTCACAATGTTCGAATCGTTACGGTAAGGCCAATAATAAGCACATGGAAAGATCTGCCACTATGTCCTGAACACTTAGTGCCTCCAACTTCATCGTCTCTTACATCCAAATTATTGACAACATTCTACGATAAAAAAGTACGTAATTCACTATAAAAACTTAAAACAGCTTACTTAAGGCTGCTGCATTAGGCATTAAAATTGGAAAAATTCATAGATGTTTAAAATTTTAACAGTCAGTATCTAAATACAGAATTAAGGAAGAAAAGTAAAAATGAATCTGAAAAGATTTTTTTCAAACTAATGAATGACGCAGTATTTGGTAAAACTATTGAGAATGTAAAAAATACCGAGATGTGTTAAGTTGGTTGGCAAATGGTGGGGAAAATTTGGAGCAAGCTATTATATTTCTCAACCATATTTACAGTTGTGTAATATTTTCCAAAGATATGATTCCAGTTGAAATGGCAAGATTAAAAGTAAATTTCAATAAACCCATTTATGTTGGTATATGTAAACTTGATATTTCTTAAACCATCTTGTATGATTTCTATTATAACTATATTAAAGCTAAATTTAACTCAAACGTTAAATTGTTGTATACAGATACAGATAGTTTAATATACCAGTTCTTTGTTGATGATATTTATACACATATAAAAGAAGATATACACTTGTTTGCCTCAGATAACCCATCCAATAATGCACATATATGAAATGCCACAAAAAAATAAAAAATGTTAGGTCTTACGAAAGATGAAAATAGTGGAAAGATAATGAAAGAGTTTATTGGATCATAAATATACTGTTTTACTTTACATACAACAAATAAAGATAAAACTAAAAACTTGAAGATTTAAGACAATGGGGTATTGAAAAGAAATATCTAAATAATGCTCTTTCAAATTTTAGAATTGTTAAAAAGGTTAAAGGAATTCGATCGTCAGCTTTAAAATTTATATATTTTAACGATTATTATGAATGTGTATTTAACAATAGCATACTTGAAGTGTCATAAATTATATAAGATCCGATAACCATAATGTATTTGCACCATTGCACTAACTAAAACATCTTAGCTCATACGATGATAAAAGGATTGTAAACTATTTTACACAGACACACTACCCTGGGGCTATAACGATTAATTTCGAGCCATCTACTTAATGGTGCTTTGCACTTATGGGGGCTGATCAAAAGAGGCAAATTCATAGAAATATTTTAATGATTCAAACTAATGCTTTTTTGTTTTGTCTTTTTACAGACTGATAATCTCTCCAAAAAATGGGAATCGGTAATTATATTTTCTGAGTTGCAAAACCTCTTTTTTAAAAAAACTCGAAATACAAACAGAAAACACGTTTATTACGAGCTACGTATATTATAACTACGCTATTATAACT